TCAGACTTCTGTCCCTTACCATGAGTTGTGCCTCAGTGTCCTGGTTTGTCTTCCTCTCCCCTTGGCATTTGGCTTTTCCCTGGAATGTCGCCACAGTATCAGTTTTCCAGTCCACTTACCTGTCGTTTCCTGTGGCTCAGTGACTTTCACCATGTCGCTACAATTGTTACTTCGTGTGTGTCCTGTTACAATTTACCTGCTGGCTTCTCCAACCACTGGCTCACCCCGACTTACCTTACACCTGCTTCCTACTGATTTGTCTGATTCTACTGAGTGCTTACCTGGTTGCGGACCCACTCCTTCCTCGACCACGTTTCTTGCCTGCTCCTTCACGGTACCGTTGCTCACACTCACCTGTCTCCCAGTTCCGCTCACCCAGCCCTATCGCCGGCCTGGTCCAAGGACTCTTAAGACTGTACATTTAAAGATTGTTGTTACTTGCATGTTTGCTCTGGTATCTGCTGAAACTAAAAGTCACAACCAACGGTCCCTGCTTTCCACTGCTGCATTTGGGTTGTTACACAGCCCGTTACAGAAATATTGTGGCTATTATGAAAGGCAGCAGAGCACAGCAGCAGCAATGCTGTGAGAGACGCAGAGGTTAAGCATGGCAGCTGTCAAGTGCTGCTCATGCTGGCAGTTTGACTGTGGTGTTATGGCCTTACATTCCTTCTTAGTCACTGGTACCTTGAAGTGATATTAAAAAAGAGACGGACAACGAATATAAAATAAAAATGCAACACCACCAATTACTGGTATGGGGCTTTGGACAATGTGTCAGTGACATTATTGTCATTTACGTCAGTGGTTCTCAACTGGTCTGGCTGCGGGACCCACCATCACCCCTTAATGATAAGCTGCGACCCAAATCAAGGAAAATGTTCAACTTCTCAAATGTATTTAATGAAAAGATGGAGCAGTTTGAACCTTAGCTGAAAATGTCCTCCACATCGTAGTGTAGGGAGCTCTCTTGTGCAGAGAAACTGTTCCTGTAAGTCCTCGTCCCACATGTTTCACGTAAACGAGTAAAACTGCTTTGTTTATGTCTGTAGATTCGTCCATTTGTAATGCAAAATGACCACTTGCCTAAATTCGAGCTGTGGTCTGTTGTTTGATGTCATCCGACATGTCTTCAATTCCTCTACTTATAGTGTCATTTGACAGAGGTATAGTTTTCAGTTTATCCTCTGCTGATATTAGCATTACAAGGCATTAACTCCAAATATTGTTAAGGAGTGTGAATAGATAGCACTCCGCTGCATAAAAAATCCCCTTCAAAATAAGAGCACAGGATTTTTATTTATTTATTTTTGATATAGGCAAAGGCCCGCGACCCAATTTTGGGTCGCGACCCACCAGTTGAGAATCACCGCTTTTCGTTAACTTGGCGTATGAGTAAAGACTATCTGATAAATCCCGGATTTGGGACAGCGCAGTGAATTGAATGTCTAAGGCTTGTGATCTATACAAACAACCAGACCCTGAACCCACTTATATCTTTTTTTTTTCAAAATAGTTTGATTATCTGAACTTTTTGGAGAAGAAACTGTCAATACCCAAGTTATTCACTTCCAACACCCTCCCACCTGCGCCAGCATGGCATCGACCTGCAGTTCAAATGTGTTCGACATATCGAGGACTGGAGCATTACAAAGACTCATGTTTACGTCTTCACAAACAGGCGACCAGATATAGTTCATCTTATTCTTCAAAAGGTCTGTTAAAAGAGCCACACCAGTTTAAGTTACCTCTATAACAGCCATACCCAGAATTCTTATCAGCTCTTAGTTTGTCCCTGGCGGAGGATACTGGTCAACGGCCCAGTATGAGTGATAAATGCGGTGATTTCTTGTGCCCTTTGAGACAAGGGAATCTGCCAATAACCTTATGAGATCAAATCTGCTCATTTTATTTATTTAATTTAAAAGGGGCCATACAGTATAGAAAAACTGTCACAATGTGATGCACCGTACCAGATTATAACATTTGTAGTCCTTTTTCTGGTCTAAACCGAGACTGTAACAAAAGGTACAGTGTAACAAACGGTACAGAGTAAAAACATACTAAACTGTTACACAAGAAAGAACACACATGGTGCCCACACAAAAAAGCTATATGCTTGTCAGTTAAAAGCAAGACATGAAGACATAAGATACAATTCCAGGTTAGTGAGTACATAGCTGAGCAGCTTTTAACAGACTTGTTTGTTTTGAGAGAGGTGCAGCTCCTCACATTGTCAGGCACCTTGCTGACCTCCACAGATTTGTGGCTTTTAAAGGAAAAAGCTGATTGCCCAAATACAGTGCAGCCAAATGGTATCGCGCAATTTCGTGTTCATTACCCAAAGTCACAAAGTAAAGATAATCAAAAATTCTCCAGACCCTGGAAAATATTGATTATATATTCTTTATTTACAAGTTTCTTAAATTTCGAATTTGGATCCAGTATCATGCCTAAATATGTGGCAATGTCAATCCTTTAACTTTTGATGAAAAAAATCAGCATTAGGAGGTTGTGCCTGGTTTTAGAGAAAATCATACCTTTTAATGTTATTAGCAGTTAGACTCGGACATGATTGCTCAAGCCAGTATGTTAAACCCAAGTAAATTGGCAGCTGCTAACTCAACTGTTTGCATGTGTGTATACAACAGTGTCACCACAATACATTTTTAAGTTATATCAATACACTGTTTTGGGAGATTGGTTGTTATTAGCAACAATAGAGCACATGCAAGCCCTGGCAGAGGCCCTGGGGCCCACACAATGTGAAGAATTGATGTGATGGTCATTATAATGAGTATCTTGTTACAACAAGCATGTATTGGGCTTGTTACCAACATACAATAGATTGGCATCAGTGTAAATGAACAGTTTACTCTATGATTCTTTTCGTTCTCCAACACTCTTTGATTAACCAATGACAAAATGAAAAAGTTAAATAATCCCTTATGGGACAACTTTTATATCTGTATATTATATATTTTGCTCTTTTGTATAACCTTCAGCCATCCGTCACTTATCACGAAGATCTACCTCTCCTTATAGTTATGGATAAACTGCCACTATAAAAGCATCTTGTTTGTTCTAACAAGATGACCTAATCTTAAATATCAAAAAAATTTGATGTTTGCTAATTTAATTTGCTTTCTAATTTATTCATTTATGTAATGGTGTATTTTCTGTTTTGTAGCTTTTGCTTATGATCACTTATATAATTACTTAAATATTTCTTGAGGCTTCGTAATTTTGTATTACTTTTTTTTCTAGCTTGTTTTGCTGTTATTTTAGAACAGCAAAAATATCATTTTAAAAGAATAGAAAACCAATAAACCAACCTATGAATTCCTTTTTGAACATGTATATGACACAAACACTATAATCACAATGTCCATGTTTAAAATCCCACCAGAGATCTTTGGTGTGTGTGTGTGTGTGTGTGTGTGTGTCAGTGGTGGGCCGTCAGGGCCTGCAAGGCCTTCTCTGCTGGCCTAAACAGAATCACAAAGCTATATATATTTTAAAAAAAGAAAAAAAAATCTATTTTATAATTTTATATTTTTTCTTAAATACACTACATGTATTATAATTCATAAAAATATTTTTCCCATTATCTTATTTTCTCATTGCACAGCTACTGTCTTCCTCAGTTGCTCTGCTTCCAGTGCAGCTTGTTTTAAGTAGAGCTTTTATCCAATCAGATCTCACCTCTGTGTCTCTAGGTAAGAACAGAGGCAGAGGCCTGCACACTCTCACCTGCAGCCAGTGCAGATTAAAGTAAATGGGGACGATATTGTTGATTGTCATAGTGTTCAACCAATCAGATCTTTAGTTTGACATGTTGGGCGTATTCTTTGACTATCAGAGCCTGCGCGCCGGCCTATAATGACGTCAGCATTACATGCCGCCAGTGTCCGTGTGTAGCTTTCCCGCGAGGTACAGAGTGTGCTGTGATTGGTCAGTGGGCGAGCACGTGACTATCGTGAAACGAAACTTAACAGCCAGCAGAGGCTGATGGGTAGTGAATCACATCACGTGATGCAGCTCAGCCAATCAAAATGCATTCTGACTGAGTGAGATGCACCATGCTAGAGGAACCTGAGCCGAGGAAAGACATTGCAGAGCAGTACGTTCAACATTCGTGTTGTGAAAGTAAAATCCAATGTTAATCTCTTTAGGTCACGGCTTGTCATTAAGGAATGACGGTGGATCCCACAGCCAGACCAGCTGAGAACATTATATTTTCTAAATGCTCTAGCATTATTCAAGCGACTCGTACTGAACGGTTTAGATGTACATTACGAAGATGTACATAGTTACAGCCTTAAAAATGAAAAATAGATGTGGTGCCATCATGTGGTTATAAGGTGGTATTTCAGCTGCAGGACAGCAGTGAAGGCCCAGGTATAAAATGCACGGCCCGCCACTGGTGTGTGTGTGTGTGTCCCCCAATTATTCTGTTTCCTGTCACTTCCTATTATGGGTCAGATGAAAAACACAAGAATAATTTAAAAAGCATATCTGGCCTCAGTATTTGATAAGTAAAATAATTTATTTATCTATATCATTGCGAATTTTTTACTTAACTTTTGTAATACTTTTAATACAATGACATTTCTGCAACTTGTAAAGTATACCTTGAGGTGGAAATGGAGGGAATAGAGGTGGGACGATTGGTCAAATAACTAACAATAATAATACGTACATTTTATTTATATAGCGCTTTTCATAGTACTCAAAGACACTTTACATGACATTTACATAATAAGGCATGGACAAAGTTCTATCACGATCAGCTGTAGCTGTTCTTTTCCACAGCTAGAAATGTATAGTTGGAATGTGATTTTTATATTGAGTTTTACCATTGATGACGGGGGGCTGTTGTGCTTCGGAAACATCTTGTAATTGGGCTCAAGGTTAGGCTTTTTAATGTGATGCTGTATGCTTTGAGTGTTTGTTTTCTGTCTAATTGTGGTATTCTCTGTGTTTTTCTTTGTATCCAGCTCTTTGCTTCGATAGACCTGGGCCGCAAGTGGACTTTGCTTCAGGAGCGGGTGACCAAAGGCAAAGTCTTCTGGTAATTTGTCATTATTGATGAATATGGACTTCAAGACTGAGCTCAATCTTTCCAGTGTATTAGTTTATTACTTCCTCATTGACACATACTACATGTACAAATCAGTAACAAACGGGGCTCTCATAGTCTCAACTAGGTCACAAAGTTGTTCAACCCTCAACTTACCCTAACCCTGGAGAGATCTAGAGCAGATAGCGTCCATGATAACCAACTCTGTTCACAATTATTTTGGGTACCTGACCTACAGTATAAACTGGGTGTTGATTGTTTTGCCTGCATCATGTTTTCTCTCAACCAAAGCACAGACAACCAGCCTGTCTGTTCCAAGAGGTGGGAGGGACGTAACCCCCCCCCCCCCCCCCCCCCCCCCTCCGGGCACTGATTTGTGCTGAAATGTTGGGTTTAATCCTATAATTTATTTATCATGCATATAGGACTGTGTAATTGTTTGATTAATCATTTAATTCATTCAATTGATCAGGTGTTATTACGTGATTTTTATCAAACTTTAGTACTGTTCTGCAGCTGAGATAGCCCAGCTTTCAAATATGGAAGGATTAAATAGACTATGTAAGTGAAGTAGTATTATTTCTGTAAATAAGAGTACATTTAATAATCAAGAAAGTTGTTAGGTTGGGAGTGATTTGCTGTAGGTTAATCTCCACAGCCCTGGCCAGCAGGCCAAGGGAGGTGGGGGGCAGTTATGTCCGTCTGCAGGCTTGAAGGCACTCTGCGAGCCAAGACATCTCCACAGGCTGAGAGGACATCAAGCCGACCTAGGAAGCAAGAACCCGAAGCTGTGCCTTCCTACACTTGGGTTCTAATATGCTACAACTGAGATTAATAACTTTGAATCCTGCGCGCCAGATCTCTTCCTCGTGCTTCTGACAGTTTTGCCTCTTCTTTTGGCCTTGTGTTACCGACCTGTCGACTATGGCCATCCTGTGTCATCCAATGTGCCCTGAAATCCAACCTGCGATAAACCAACGTGCTGAATATTTATTCAATTAACTATTGAGAGAAAGCGACTTTAAAAGAAAAGACTGTGTGCACAAGAATGATAACTTTGGGAATACTTTGTTAAAATATAAACTATTGCACTATTTCCTAGTGTTTTTATTTAAGGTGATTTTTCAACTGATGATTAGACAAATTAAGTCGTTCAAGAAGTAGGAGAACAAGAAATTTGCCTGATTCAAGTTGGTTTTCTTAGAGGCCAGTGGAACTGGATTCATAGAATGCTCATGAAGGTCATATGGATTTGTCTTGAAATCATTAGCTGCTATGAAAATCAGAGCTATAAAATATAATATAAAGTAGATCAGCTAAATCTTTATTGGTATCGTCACCTGTGAAGCTCTTATGGTATCTTGACTTTCTGTTGGTTTATGGAGCGCTGACTACAGTTGATTTTAATAAATCAGTAGGCAAACTGCTTAGATCACTTGAAAAGGACCGCCGTCATCCTGTAGCACTTCCTGTTATTCATCTTCTATCCCTTGTCCCTCCAAGTTTTAATTTGAAGGGTGTCTTTTTGATGTTTTTTTTAAACTAAAATGTGTTATACAAGTAGATGACTAATTTGAGGAATAGCTTGTGTGCGTGGGTTGTGTGTGTGTGTAACGCTAGCGAGTATATGGTTGAGCGTTGCCATGGTTACCGAACTGAAATATCAAACTCTTAGGATACTTTCTAGACTTACTGTGCTTCCAGAGTGAAATATTTGATTTGCAATCTCAACTACTGATATCGGAAAGAATAATTGGAGAGGATCATTTTGAGACAAAGATCAGAAAAACTCGTTTGTATATTCTCCAAATACAAAGAAGACAACTGGCAGTTGAACTAGTCAGTTATACGAACTGAAAGCTAAAATTAGCCAGCTTGTAAACAACCACATCAACCGTCACAAAAAGAAGACAACGAGCATTATATGGTGTTATTGCTTGTAGCAGATTTAATAAATAGGTTAATCATAACTCAATTATGAATCATAAAGCCATGGATTAGTATAAAAAGAGTGATGGTCCTAAGCTTCAACCATGAGACGCAATAACTTTAAGTTAGATAATTGAATATTTTGGAAAAACAGGGAAAACTCTGAAATTTGATATTAATCAAGTCTCAATGTCAGGGTTTGAGTTTATATCATGGTGTACAGTGACTTATTTCATATACACAAAAATGAAATGATCCAGTTCTTTATAAATGAAACATTCATTGGACATAACTTGATTTCTAAATAGAAAATAAATAAATCAACGATAAAATGAAAAAAATGAATGGAATAATTAAAGAATAGGATTAGTTCAATAAATAACAATTAACCATGTATGAATGAAAAGCATTACATGTGACCAGGTAGAATCGGTTACTCATATTGATTAATGATTATCAATTTACTAGTTTTAATTTAAGGGAGATCCAACTTTAGGTCTAAACCTTATTAATCATTATTTTCTCAATTAGTCGACATCTATCCTTAACTTATTAAGTAACATTACTTTATGAAGTGACTTCAAATGTATTCGACCTAGAAACCTCAAACTCATTCACATCTGGAACTCATCGTTTTCACCTGACAGTTCTGATGAGCATATGGAAGCTGTATGAAGTGGCCCAAAATTCTCTTCGGGCATCTCTGCATCTTGGATCTTGTCGGATGACAGTAATTAATTTAGATCATATTCTTTCATCTCTCAATCTCACTCTCGCTCATGTTAGGGAGAGATCTGGCATGCAGGATTCAAAGTTAAAGTTTAAGGTAAGTGGGCAGTGGAAAGTAGGTTTGTGGAGATCACCCTTCAGCGTCAATGTCCAGAGTAGAAGAGCCTTCGTCTGACTTCATCTTGCTCTTATCACCTGAGAAAGGGGTGTGGTGTTTGGTGCAAATAGCAAACCACTCCCATCTTAACAACTATCTTATTTCTTTCATTTGACCTTTTTTTTAGAGAATTAATACGAGTTAACTGACAGACTGTTTAATTCTACCATATTTGAAAGCTGGCTACAGAATGGTACCAAACACTCTAATTTATAAGGTTTTATTCAGTGATTTATATCAAAGTTAAAATGAATTAAACAGCTACACAATTAGATAGACAACGTTGTCATGACACAGACAAACTTATGTAGATATGTATTTGTACCTGTATGCATAACAAATTAATGGATAAGATTAAACTCAAAGTTTCAGCACAAAACAGTGTCCTGGGTGAAAGACAAGAAGGGAGGGTGAGGGCAGCGCTCCCTTATAGATAGATAGATAGATATAAACTTTATTCATCCCCGGGGGGAAATTAGTTTGTAGCAGCAGCAATTTACAGAGTAAAATAAAATATTACATATGGAAATGCACAATATATACAGTACAATAAAATAACAGATATTAAATTTGAAGAAATAGAATAAAAAATATAAATGCTAAAAATGCACGGTATATACAAGGAATTAGAATGGTATTAAATTAACAACTAGGTAAACTAAACAGTAGTGCAAGGATCACCAACAACAAGCAACAACCGTGTGGCATTGTAGTCATTTGAAGGATGATGATCTGGCCAGAGGTGATTTATTATAAAGTCTAATGGCAGAGGGCAGGAATGTTCTCCTGTATCGGTCCTTGTGACAGCGGAGCTGAATCAGTCTGTTGGAGAAAGTGCTCCGCTGTCCCTGCAGTAGGTGGTGGAGAGGGTGGTCCGGGTTATCCAATATGGATAATAGTTTCTTCAGTGTCCTCCTCTCCACCACCTGTTCCAGATAGTCTTGTTTGCAGCCAATGATGGAGCCGGCCTTCTTAACTACTTTGTTAGGTCTGTTGGTGTCTCCGGCTCCAATGCTGCACCCCCAGCAGACTACGGCTAAGTACAGTGCACTGGCCACAACAGACTGGTAGAACATCTCCAACATCTTGCTGCACACGTTGAAGGAGCGAAGTTTCCTCAAGATAAAGAGTCGACTCATCCCCTCCTTGTACACAGCGTTGATGTTGGTCTTCCAGTTCAGTCTGTTGTCGATGGAGACACCCAGGAACTTGTACTCCTCCACCATGTCCACATCCTCTCCCAGAACTCTCAGCGGTTGTGGAGCCGTCGTCTTCCTCCTGAAGTCGACCACCATCTCTCTGGTCTTGGCCACGTTCAGACGCAGATGATTTCTACCGGCCCACTCCACGTCACCCACTGCTGCCCTGTACTCCTCCTCCCATCCTGAGCTCATTGCAGCAGGTAGATGATGGCGTCCAGTGATGATTTCACCTGCGGCCAGAGGTGGGCCAAGACCAGCCTCTCCAGCACCTTCATCACATGAGATGTGAGGGCAACTGGTCGGTAGTCATTGAGGCCAGATGGTGTCGTCTTCTTAGGTACAGGAACCAGGCACGACGTCTTCCAGAGCACCGGGACTTCCTCCTGCTTCAGGCTCAGGTTGTAGAGGTGTTGCAGAACATCAGACAGCTGGATGGCGCAGATTTTCAGGACCCTGAGGCTGATGCCATCAGGTCCTGCAGCCTTGCCTTGGCAGAGTGTCTCCAGTGGTCTTCTCACCTGGCCAGTCATCACAGAGAGGGGGGGGAGGGTGGTCATAGTGTCGGTGGTCCATGTAGCTCACCAGGGGGGACAGAGGGGACAGATGGGGAGGTGTTTGGGAGGTGTGGTGTGTGGAGGAGACAGATGAGGGCTGTGAGCTAAACCTATTGAAGAAAGAGTTTAGCTCGTTGGCCCTCTCCAGGGAGCCCCCTGGTTGTCTCCCTCCAACCTTAAAGCCTATTGGCTTTAAGATTGAGGGAGGTGTGGACGGGGATGAAGCAGATTATCTGCTTCATCCCTTCAGGTCGCGCTGGACTGTCCTGAGCTCCTCCCTGTCCCCAGACCTGAAAGCTGCTTTCTTCTTGTTAAGAAGAACTTTCAGGTCACTGGTGATCCATGGCTTATTATTGGGGAAGCAGTGTACAGTCCGGGATGGAATGGCGGTTTGTTCACAGAATTTAATGTATTCAGTGA